GGTTTGTGAACAAAAGACAGTTATACAACACCGCACAATCTGGGCTCTGTTTACAAGGCTGCTGGCCTGGCTGATATAATCGGGCGTCAATGAAGGTCACCTCTCAACTTAGAGTAGTGCCTAAAAATTACTAGGTGTGGCTATAAACGACCCTTAAAGGAAATGATGAATTTTTGAAGGATTTTGAAAACGGAAAAAATAACAGTCATGCTGGCCCAGCAACATCAACATTGAAAAATGCCCCGGCATGAAGTGGTTAAGTACTGAAACATCGTTGTTTTTGTCCGATGAAACAAACCTACAGGAATGTTTCCTCCAAATCCCTCACACAAGAAGGCATCTGGGAAGCTTGGTCAGTTTCGAATTAAAAATAGTCCACTTTACAGTTCACTTAACTTGAAAAAGATATGAAACAGTTTTCATACAGAAAAGTTTTAATACACACAAAAAGTGATTCTGAGAAACAGTGATTGCATTGATCCTTTAACCAATTGCTGCCGGGTGCTTTCAAAAATGCAGTGCACACATACGGGAGATTTTCAAAAGTTTTTGTTTATCAAAATTCTTCGGAATTTCATTATTTCATTTAATGGATGTATACACCCACACGAATGACTGTTTGGTGTCTACTCTAAGCTGACAGGCAACCTTCATTGACTCCTCAGTATTTCAGCCAGGCCTGCTGCCCTGTAAAGAGAGCCCAGAATTGTGAGGTGTTGCGTAATTTCCTTTGTCCCCGGTGAATGCGAGTGGCGAGTTTTCAAACGGGGCTGGCTTAACATGCAGCGGTGCTATGTCGCTCATCAATGGGGCCCTGGAGCACTTTTGTCCGTGGTGCTAATCTGCGGGCGTGCTATGCCCAAAACAGTGGTACACTGTTTAAAAACAGTGACGGATTCCCTTTGAAAAATGCAAGCCCCAAAATGATGGCAATTCCCAGCAGCAGGTCTTTTGTTACTTGGACCAGCTCTTTTGTCCCATTTCGGGCACCCTGGCTCTGCGTATAAACCCATGGTGCTCAAAATGGGGTTCCTCGGCACTTATGCCTTTGTATAGCAAGAATCTGGATTGGATTCCCTGACCCTTCCATCAAAAATAAGACCCCTGGCCAAATTGACACAAGGTGTCATATTAAAAGACTCTAATTACCTCATATCCAAGTTCTCTGAGGAACATAGACAACAAGGGAGGCTCTTCACCAAAGAATCTGACAAAGAATGAAAGGAAAATAACAGGAACCGAATTGAACATAAATGAGAAACTAATTATCCAGCATGCATTCACACTAAAATGCTCATGGTATCATATCATTTCTAACCCTGTTTGTCACAACCATATGGCATATCACAGACCAAAACAGTTTCTTCAGTTACTTTAATTTCTACCTTGTGATGCAAAACAGTATCTCAAACACAATTTACAAAGTCTTCATACCTGTTTCCTGTTGAGTGCAGGTAGTTATTTACAAATCACATTCACTGAGGATAAGAGGCATATTCCAACAGGTTATGACCCAACATATCCCAATCCATGCAATTACCAATCAATTATTCAATTCCAGGCAAAAGATTGAAGCCTCAAAACATTATGAAGAAAAATTCCGCAAACCAACAGGCTAATTTCTGAACAGTACAGCTTAACATACTTAGTCAACTTTTTGATCTTCTGTGGACTGGAACACAGGGGCACGATCGGCCTGAACTTCATCCCGCCATTCAAAACATCGTTGGCATTCAGAACGTGCATGTCTCTGAGCTGGCTGACCTCGTGGCGCAGTGCCTCAATCTCATGGAACATGGCGCTCTGTGAGCGCAGTTCCGAGGAGAGGTGTGCCACGCTGCGGGCGAGGGTGACCACGTGGGACTCTACGCGGGCAAAGCGCTTGTTGACCATCTTGATGTCCTTATCCCGTCGTTTGCTGGCCTTTCCTGAAGAAGCTAACAGGATTGAAACAGACAAATCATTGCATGTGAGTAATGAGTCTGTATTCACTAGCATCTTTGCAGTAAGTCTGCAGTCACGTCCGAATCAATGACTCAGAACTACTGTCGGACTTGAATGGAACATTTGACTTCTGGTGCTATAAACTGGTCTTTCAAGGTTAATACTGTGATTGTAGACATTTCAAATAAACATACCCTTGGGTTTGTTTTGGGTCTTGGCTGACGCGGTGCTCATGGAACTGACAGATAGCCTTTCACCTGGGTTTTCTAGCAGCCGCTCCCTCCGGTCATTCCCAATCACCTGGAGAATCTCCTTGTACATATTCTCCAGCACCACCAGCTGCTGTCGGATGTTTTCCGCATCGGGAGGCTCCACAGACTCGGTCGCCGAGTGCTGCTGCTGATGGGTTTCCGAGACCTTGATGCTAGCTTTGGAGGGGAGAGATCCCAGGTGAGATGCAGAGCCCGAATCGTTCTCATTGTCGGAATCACTGCGGCGGTCAGAGTGGTGGGAGCTGAGATCGCTGTCCGTGTGTTCGGTGTGCTCTTGGACTTTGAGGAGAGGAACCACAGGCAACCCTGCAGGGTAGAGAGAGAGAAGACAGTCACTGTAAAATGACGAACTGAGGTTTTGAGGAGACGAAAGTCCTTGGTGGACCAAAACTAGGGGAGATGGCAGGCTGGGTCAATGGAAAACACAATGTTTCAACATAGATGAAAATGTGAACAGTTCTGTGTAAACTATCCTGCATAGAATCAAAAGATCACATTCTTTAAGAGCCTGTGAGTCCCTTGATGCTTCTGAAAGATAACATAAACCAATGCATTGATGTCTTATCTTTAATCCTGCTTTATTTTAAGAGCATAACATGCCCCCAAATGTATGCCAATTCCTTTTTCTTTCCCTTGCCATCTCTGCCTGATTTTATGGAATGAAATGGAAACATTTCTACCTCTACTATTTGGCGACTTCCTTTTGCTAGAAGTGGTTGAGCTAACCCCCACAAGGCTGCTACTACTTGATTTCACCCCTTTTGCCATCTTTCTTCGTCCTTTGCCGGCACTTCGCCTCAATGCAGCCTTGGGTTCAAACATCTTGTGAGAGGAGCTGCCACTGCGGTTCGAACTGTTCTTCCGCCTCTTCATACCCATGGAGGAATCGTTGAGTTTGTGGGGTGGGAAATGCACTCCCGAGGGCAGGACGCCCACGCTGATGGACCGCTGCACTTTTTTGCCCAAGTACGGGGAGTTCGGCACAGACTCCAGGTCCGAGTTGTCTGGCGAGAGTGGGGGTAACGGTGGGGTGCTTGATCGTGAGGAAGAGTCGCTCAGGCTGAATGCAAAGTCTCTAGAACCGTCCAGACCTCCGCCGTTCCTGAGGTAGGTCTGCTGAGTTCTGGAATCCAGGGGCATGTGGTCCATGTACATGTATGGAGAGTTTGGTTCCAATTTTCTGCTGCTAGGTGGGTGACGATAATCCTGTCTTCTGGACAGTTCTTCCATGGGTATACCTCTGGCATTTGGAAGTGAGTCGCCGTGCATGTGGTTCAAGTACTGTCTCACCCTCTGGTGGTCTTCATCGACTGCCTGCTGATCGTAGTCCCGTTGGGGACCGTAGTTGGGCCTGGGCTCATACTGGTCTCTGCGCCTCCTGGGCTGTTGCAAATCCCGGGGGTAGCCCTGGGGCTGCCACACAGGGCTGTTCTGCGGTCTAGGCCCCTCTGGAATGTATATGTTGTTGGGGTTGGTTGAGTTTGGCATACGGTGCTTGGGTGGATGTCTCTGGATGTGGTCAGAGTAGCTGGGCAACTTTCGTCGTTGAGTTGGTGTCTCCTCTCCGGGATAGTACGGCTGCATCTAAAAACCACGATGGATTATGCTTTGGTTCAAATTTTTGGGCAATGATTAGTAGCCTGATTAGTTACAGTATAATTTGAAAAGCAATGGCATTTCACTCTGTCAGACCACATGTGCATGACAAGTACCAAAGGCCTAACAAGTACGAAGAGGTCCCATGGGTGTAAAACAACCGTCAAATGCTAGTGTTCAAGTTGGGAGAATATTTTTTAACAATAAATATCATATACCGGTACATGTACAGTAAAATCTCGATAACTCAAAGTCGGTTAACTAGAAACTCCGCTTAACTTGAAGAATGATTAATTCCCGCCGAAACAATAGGTTTTTATGTACAAAAAAATATCCGTAACTCGAACTGCTCACGTTGCCGGATTTGTTTACCTCAAAGTTTTTGTGAAGCGGACCCAAAAGAAACCGCAGCCAAAATACTTCCAGAAAGTGTAAACAGAATGCGGGTCTAGTTATGAATCATTTGTGACACGCGCACTTCGTCTTTTCACACCGGAACACTTGCAAGCGCGCTACAATGATGATCAATCTAGACACGTAAACCACACTGTGACTGCAAAATCCGACTTGCAGGAATTGGACCAATTGTTACCGTGGGCCCATTGTATCCAGTGCGTTGGCAGGCCAACTGATGGCGGTGGCTGTAGCGATGCATTGGAGATCTTTGTGTATGCCGCACACGCCACACATATAGAAGTTAAATCTGGCCTAATGGTATGGCCCAACTGCTTGCACTCGCCCGTGCAATGGCTGCCCAATTAGAGCCACAAACCACAGCACGCTCATGCGCGCAGCGGACCAGCCACGGGACTGCAACGCTGAGCTTTTACGTAGCCAAATCTTGATCCCAAGAAATAAACAAATATTTGAAAATAAAGAACGAAGGAAAAAAAATATAAACAGACACCAGTAGCGTGTTTGTTTTTACGAAATTTTATTGAAGTGCTAAAAGGTGCGCCCTCATGTGATGAAAAAAGTCAGTATCAGAATGGGACCACTACAATGCGTCACACAACGCCAAAGAAAGATTTGCCACACAAAGGTACACAGCTTAACCCCTTTGCTACGGAGGACTGCTACTACCGCACCACTGTGTGAGGATTAGTGCACACCACACATAC